CCCCAAAACCCCAAAACCCCAAAACCCCTCCTTTGATATTTCATATTGAATTACTAATTAAGTGACTTTGTCAAATATCACTCTTCCTTCCTGCACTCTTTGACAGAGGTCTTCGAACTTGGTCACAGTGGTCTTGTACGATAAAGAATGCGATTTTAAAGACTGTCCTGGATTATGCTCAACCTGGAAGGGATCTAGAATTGAGAAAGCTACTTGATCTTCCTTGTTTAGTTTTGGGATGAATCCTCCAGACTTAATATCGATTAGCTTCTCATAAATTTCTTCATTACTATAGAACTCAAAGAATTTGTAGACTAGTTCTGCTGTGCTAAGCTTATTTACTCCGTGATTTTTATGCATTTTCTCTAACAGTGACTCATATTTAGATATAAAATAGCAATTTGCTTGGAAAACATCATTTGAGGTTCTTGAGAGATAGTATTTATAGTGTTTCTTTTCCTCTTTATCATACTCTTGTAGATTTGGAAGTAGAGGAGGATCTATGCCTCCTTGACAAAATGCAATGATCATGAGCTGGATAGCATATGAACTAATATATCCATTATCAGCTCCAATAAGTCTCCAATGTTTTAGCCAGAACTTTATAAAGTAAGCCATTTTATGACATCTTTGGTCTATACTCAAATATGTTCTGATCAATTTTGAGTTGCTGACACCAAGAACTCCATTTACTCCAAGATCTCATTCTTCTCCTGTCACTAGGTCTGTATACTTAAAAATTGGTACTTTTGAGTCAAGTACTAGCTCAAATTTTTTGCCTGAAACTGCATGGATTGCAGGAATAATTGCATTCAGAACTTCTTCCTTGTCCAAAGCAGGGTTATAGTAAAAATTAAGAGCTAAGTCCAGGTCACTTTTGTTCTCTTTAGAATGCATGAAGATCCCATTGACAGAAGATCCAAAAGGCTCTACTACAAACTCACCAAATTTCTCTTTGATCAATGGTTTTCCATCTTCTTGAATATTCATGATTGCTTTAGTAAGTCTCTCAATAGTCTGATTAACGTTTACAATCTTTTGACTTTCCTTCTCAAGGCTATAGTTGTAGTGAAAGACATCTTCAATGATATCTCCAAGGCTTAGAAGTCCTATCTTCATGGGGTCATCAAGGAGTCTTCCGATCTCTTCATTTTTCGAGTAATAATAGAGCATATCATTTGGCAGTGAAAAATGTATCTTAGTATCCACGCTACTGAAAGGATCCATCAATCTCTTAGGAGTGATTATATTATCATCTGGTCCATTATCACAGTCGGTGTTGACCTTCTCAAGATATTTGTATTTCTTCTCCTCTCCTTTCTTGTCAGGACTCCTATATGTATCTCTGTTGATCACTACTTCATCATATCTTTTACTGTATTTTTCCACTATGGCATCTATCTTTTCTTGTGGGACTTCAATTGATTTCCATTTCTTGAGAATTTCAAGCTTCTCCATCAAAAGTCTATTTGGAATCAAGCCAGAGGACAGACCTATCGAGGATCTCGATAAGTGTCTCTTCAATTAGTTCAAATTCTTTACCAAAATCTGGATAGTTTAGGAGTAAATATCTGGTGTTTTGGAAGATGAAGTTCTGAAGATCGTTGATCTTCATCCTCTGTTCATTACAGCTATGTACTATCTTCTCTATTTGTAGTGCTCGAGACCCAGTTTTGACTTCCTTGCCTTCTTCAGTTGGAATTTGATGACCAATTCAAGTTCATTTAACAGGGTTTAAGAAGAAGAACCTTGCTACTTCTTCACCATGATTGTAGATACTATTGACCATAATTTGAACTCCTTTTAAATACAGCATAAATTTTGGGATACTCTTCTTCCTGAAATATCTCAGTAACTTCGAGCGACTTCTGAGCTCAGGTATTAACTCAAATTTTTGAAGCTCCTCTTCTGTGAGCTGGAACTCACTTTCCTCATCCTTTTTCTTTGGACTTGGCTGCTTAACTTCAATTTTTGGGTGTTTCTTAGGCATTTTTTCCTCTACCAATTTCTCTAGCTCTTTAACATCAGCTCTAAAGTACTTCTCAATATAGTCGACATCATTAGGGTTTTCTTCAAAAAGGGTTCTAAACTTTTGCCTAATTTTGGCTTCATTTTCTTGAAGACAACTGGTGATTTCAAATTTTCTAAGAACAGTCAGATCTCCATCACTGACTTTTATCATATAATTAATTGTTGAGAATACTTTATCATCAACAGAGTCAAATTCCTCTCTCAAAACCTTGACGATAGGATTTGAGATGACTCTCTTCTGTAGGTTTCTCTTCAAATCATGGCTATGATAGATCCTCACCTAAATATTAACATTATGAGCTTACATAATCTTCTGAGTTGACAAAAGTAGCAGCCTTAGCAAATAACTCAAAGCTCTTGAGCATCTCTGCTGGGGGTCAGATATCAACTAATTTCATGAAATATAGGAACTCAGGCATGAACTCGATCCTAGTCTCTTCTGTTGCCTGAAATAAATAATCAAACTTCTTCTGAATCTCTTCCATATTTTGGCAGACTAAATTATTAACAAAACTCAAGGATTTTATATGCTAAAGGGGTTTTGGGGTTTTGGGGTTTTGGGGTTTTGGTG